TGCATTATCATCATTCTTGGCAATAGGACAAAAATTGCAAACACATTAAGAAAACTAAGCAACTTAAAAGATTACAGGTGGCAATCCACTTTAAAATTGTTTGATATATATATATATATATATATATATATATATATATATATTAGTTTTGTTTTAGACAGGGCCTCTCCATATAGCCCTGGCTGTCTTGGAACTTCCTCTGTAGACTAGTCTGACCTCAAACTCAGAGATCTGCCTGCCTCTGCCCCCAGAGTGCTCAGACTAAAGGCGTGAACCACCACTGCCTGGCTTGAATAATACTATTTGATAATAAAGTTCTGCTACAATCTTATGAGATAATCTGAATGATCTAAATGTGCCATGAAGTCATCAGTCATGAATAGGGACTATAGAATGACAGTGGAGGCCAAAGGACACTAAACAAAAGGATGTATAGTGATGATTTTGCCCAAATGAGCCTTTGCGCAGTGACTCTTATATTAGTCAGGCTCCCATGTGGCAAAGCTTGGCCAGGCACAGCGTTGGAAGCAGATGGGCCTGGGTGTCGGTCACAACCTCACTATTTCCACTGATACCCATGACCTTAGTGACGCTGGAAACCCTTTGAGCCCATTTCTTCATGGTATGAATGATAAGACTATTTGTTCTTGTATCCGACTGTTGTAAGAACCATGTGAGATGTGTGAAAAACTTCTTTGCATGTGTGCACATGCATGTTTGTACCTGCATGCATGAAAGCCAGGGGACAACTTTGGGTGCCGTTCCTCAGGAGCCACACATCTGTTTGGTTGGTTTTTGAAACAAGGTCTTTTACTGGATTCAGACTTGTCAAGGAAGTTAAGATTGGCTGGCCAGTGAGACCCAGGAATCCCCGTCTCTGCCTCTCCAGCCAGGAGATTACCAGGGCACCATCACATCTAACTTTTTCCCCCATTAAAATGTGAGTTCTGAGAAACAAATTCAGGAACGTGTATTAATAAGGCAGAACTCTTTCTGCCTGCCGTCTCCTCAGCCCAACAGTGTGGACCTGTGATGCCTATTAGGTTCCATACCCACCTGTTTCTTTGCTTTTGGGGAAACCATTGGGATACATAGTGCATTCACTTAGGAATTCATCGTAAGCATGTACACCATGACCATCCCCCTTTCCTGGATGAAGGGTTCAGCAGGAGATAAATTCCTGCCAATTCTCCATCTTCAAGTCTCCTACCTTCTTCTTCTAACTCACACAGAGGTGCTGCATATGTCTGTAAAGACCTGGCACATGCTACACATAGGAACCTTATCTCTGATGGGGAAATAGATAATAAAAAATTATAATAATGTGTAAAATTAATAATGTTCTACAGCAAGAGTAGGAGGACACCAAAGGGAGACATTTAATCAGACAAATTGGAATGGGGACAATGTCCATGACAACAGATGATGGAGAGATTGTGGGTGATGCTCTAGACAGATGTGACATTCAATTATTTCTCTATTCAGTCAAATTGACTGAACATGTACTAAGTTCCATAGTACTGAATGAAACAGGCTCTCTTAAGCAGAATGCTGCAAGTTCAGTGCTTGGGAGCAGAAACAAGTACAGTGAATCTCCATTACTTGGCAAATTCTAGGCCTTTCTGGGCTGCAAAGCAAGGCCCTGTGTTAAACAACAATGACAAAGCGATCGTTTCTATAATTCTAACATCCTAGTTAGTGGAGGGGGAAACTGAAGTGAGAGTTGCTGAGAGGCGCTTTGGGAGATTAAGCTGGGCTGGGGGATGGAGAAATGCTGCTACTTTAGGAGGGAGAGTGGGAAGATTTCTTGGGGAGGTGTCATTTAAGCTGAGATCTGAATGGCAACTGTGGGAAGCTCAAGATGATCATAGCACAGCAGGAGCTGTTGCAAAAGGCTTAAGCAAGGAGCCGATTTTGTGGTTTTGGGGTTGGTAAAGATGACTGATATGGCTGATTTAGAGTGAGCTAAAGGGGTAGTAGGTAAGTATATGCCAAACATGTGGGAGGCCCAAATCATGGTCCCCGTGAGCTTAGAAGAAAAGAGGCTAGATTAGGTGGTGAGAAACTGTGGATAATATAAGCTGGAGCTGGATTCTGGGGCTGGAGAGATGGCTCGGTGTGTAAGAGTGCTTACTGTTCTTGCAGAGGACCACGTCAGGCAGCTGTTATAACTGCCTGTAACTTCAATTCCAGGGAATCTGACCTCTTCTGGCCTTGTCATGCACCCACACATGTGAAACATACACTCACACACATACAAATGAATAAAAAAATATCAAATCTTCTTTTAAGAACTAGATCCTACCAAACACTACATGGAGGACAAAGGAGATGTTTAATTCTACTTAATATTATGCAAAGAATCTCAAGGAGCTATGGCTAAAGTCATTCAAAGAAAACCTCTCATGTTTATGCCCTCAAGGAATATACTTGTGCTACATTCTTAAGCCAAAGTGCCCAACATAGAGACTCCATGACAGCTGAGAATTCTTTTTAAGTATCCACAATTCTAATATAACCCCTATCTTTACAACATTTGAGTACTTACCATTATGGCATTATCTATCAGATGGAATGTCTTATCAGAGTATATGTCACCATGACTAAGAGTTAAGAGGCAGTGCATAATGCCTAGATGGCAAAGGATGTTACGTAGTAGAACGTGGGAGAATTTTGCCTCGTGATATATAAGATGGACATTGCCAAGTCCTCACATCTTTTAATACCCTCAGATTTGATTGCCAAAGGGCATAGCATGACCATTTATTTTCTAGCCTCTTGCAACTAGAGGTCATAATATGACATAATATGAAATGTAGGTATAAGTGGCTAAATTAAAGGGTAAAGCAAGCCTGGAGCTCTTTGACAGTTGGGCTTCTTCCTCAGCCAGCAGGCTATAAGTCCAAACCCATATTCAGCTAGCAATGCCAGGACAATGGTGTCCAATGTTGGACAAGTTTGAGTTGGGCATCTTACAGGCACTGTTCTAGCTGGAGATGAACTCTGACCACAAGGTTCATCATGGCACCCAAGAGAGAATTAAAGCCAATTAAAGCTGAAAGTGGTTTGAAAAATCACCATTTTTGATCCAGCAACCCTGAAATCTTTTCAGAAAACACAAATATGTCTAGTGTGTGAATTGGAGAAAAAGTTCAGTGGGAAGCATGCAGCTTCAGAGGAGAATTTCTGCCAAACCGACTCAAAAAAAAGCTACAGGGGAGATCAGCAGAAGCTGCCCCCTGCTGGCTGAGTATAGCCGTCCTTGTGCACTTGGTGGTCCTAAGTGAAAATGTGAACCAGACAATCCTGAGAACCTGATGGCAGCCAGGTCCTTAAGGGTCACTGAATCAAAGTTGAGCTGGACAATGTGGAGCACAAAGTTGGTACTTCTGCTGTCTCTGAAAAGCTCATGCACAGGGTGTTAATTTTTAACTTATAGAGTTTTAGTTGTAAATAAAACTGGTGAGATTTTTGTTTGTTTGCTTTTGCTTTTCGAGACAGGGTTTCTGTGTGTAGCTCTGGTTGTCCTGGAACTCACTCACTCTGTAGACCAGGCTGGCCTCTGCCTCCCAAGTGCTGTGATTAAAGGTGTGTTATCACTACTGCTTGGCAAGGTGTTTTTATTTTTTTAGGAGAAAAGAAAAGGTAAGTTGGGAAATGTATTATAGATTAGCAGCTCATGGGTACAGTGCATGACTAACGTGTAGAAAGCCCTGGGTTCCATCCCCAGAACTGTGGATGAGGAGGGAGGCAGGCCCACAAAGTTTGGCTCAGAGCATGCTCTTTTGTCTTTATGTGAGCCAAGACCTTTGGACTTCACGTGTGCCAGTATAGACACAAGGGACACAATGGAGCCTCTGTCCACTCCTGCATCCTTTTTTGGTATCCATGCTCTGTGCACAATGTACACCAAGTAAAGCAACCCTTCAATGTTTCTCTGCAAACCAAATCTTTGAATAGTCCACGTGTGATCTGTAGGGACAGAGTTGTGGCAGAGTATTACAAAATTAAAGACCTGTGAGGAGGCAGCTTCATGAAGGTGATGGCATTTCAGCTCCTCTCCATAGATGGTTATAACTCTTAAGATGAAGATGGGGGGTTAGGGCATTCATTGTAAGATCAGGAAGCAAGACGAATGGTGAAGTCAAAGCAACAAAAAGACCCGTGTACCGTAAATGAAGATCAGTTTAGTTCAGAAGAACGAGATGATATATGGAAAGAAGTGAGAGAGAGACAGGACAGGTTAAGAGGGTTGGCCTTTAGCATATCTGTAAGGTTTTGGAACAGCTGTTTACATAGGTGAATAAGTCAAACAAGGCACACATAAGTAAATATTGTGCACGAAGCCCTGGGGACCTGGCATGAACTCAGGCCACATGCAATAGAGATCAAGATGTGAACTTGAATTTCACTTTAAAACCAACTGCTCCAGAGGACACTAAAAGGAACTGTGAATAAATTGCAATTGTGTAAACTGAACACAGGGGAAGAGAATACACTGAATATTTAAAATATGGCAGTTAAAAAAAGAGGAAGAGAAAAAAACTTTTGAAGTTGGATTAAGGTACAAGAGGGACATTCAGGTCTTGAAGACAATGACGCTGATGTGAGAGGTGGAGTTGAGAACGAGTCACGCGAGTCATCCACGAGTTTAGTCTGTCATAAGGACACACAGGAACCTCCTAGCACTAGCACGCCCTGAATACAGGACCGATGATGTGACAGGGAAAACTGAGATCTATGAAGCACCTTGAGAAAACAAACCCCGCTGTGATTACTGATATGTATAGGGCTGTATGTTTCCTCAGCTGCTAACTTCTCAGAAACACTTACCCCAGACTGACCTCCTAACTGGCGGGCAGAATAAGGGTCACATATTTTGTAAGGAAATTCGAGACTGAATCACCCGTCTAGTTATTTGAGATTCTGGTCTAGAATGTAAGACCCACGAACAATACAACTAAAGTCGCTGAAAGCAGTTGTTTTTTTTTTTTTTGGAGGGTGGAGAGCATACGCTCCCTAAACACACAGGAGGGGTATGGTTGTGCTTGGGCAGAGGCACCATGTCGGCAGGAGAAAGGTTATTTACACGCAATCCTCCAGGCTGACGCTAGTCACGCTGCATGGTTGCCGCATGGCTCATCGCGGTGACCACACGGGTAAGTCCCAGGGCGGGAGCCTGGCAGGGACCCGGGTCGCGACGCAATCGGACT